GAAAAACGAAAAATGAATTTAGGGCTTTCTTGTAAACTCTATAACTTTGCAAAGAAAGGTCGTGTAGAGCTGGGAGATGCCTCGTTTTAATCAGAAATTTATGGACTACAATTACGCCTCATTAAGACAGCTTCTGGTTGCTCTTTAGAGTTTCTCGAAAACTGGTTTTCCAGAAGACCGGTCTTTGAAGACCTAACAGCAGCATTCATGGTGATATTCGGAATCAGCATTCTTCGGCTAGTTAACGAACTGAGTCGAATGGTAGTATCTGATTGACAAACTTAACTGTGCCTCCTTTTGCACATGTTCATTTTTACTGGTGCATGCACTTATTTCTGTCTTAGTATTGCTAAATATCATTCAAACTATGTTAAAAAGTAAAAAAGAATCAGTTTTTGCAAATTTTTTTAGTTGATTTTTACCTGATGTCACGTGGTGAAAACTTTCACCCCATTCGTTTTTTTTTATAGAACCTCACCACCCAAGTTACGGCGTTTTTCTGGCAAACTTATCTCGAGATTCGTAGATCGTATTTGTAGTCATTCCAAAGTAGGAATGATGTTCCATTAGTACTGTAATGCATCTCCTATTCGATTTCCAACAAGTAGATCACTACCGGTTATCGTCCATTGATCGACGAAGTTGAGCAAAAAACTCGAACTTTTTTCATTATTTATCCTACAGGCTTAATGAACAGGTACCAAGTGTATTCTGTACATCTATCGTCAAACATATAATGAAGTAACAACTTCAGCTATAAATTTAGATGATCAGTTTATTAAAAAGCTCCTGAAGATATTAAACCTTCAGGATTAAACTTTCATTCGCACCTCTAAACTAATCGATACACTTCTATTAGGCAATATCGATTCCCTGCTTACGTATCGCATTCACAAATCGTACACAACACGATTGTATCCTAGTTTTGATTTAAAAATACTCTTCCGTAGAAAAAAAGGTACGTTTCGTGAAAACTAGGGTATTTCGTAGATCCTCCAGAGAATCATAGAAAAAGAAGTGCCACTTTTCACTAACAGGACAGATGTCCAATAGATAGATGAACAGCTGGGCACAATTGAGCGAGATCAGATAGAAACGACAAGAGGCGAACTGATTATACTGAATACGCCTGGTCGAAAAACTTTTTAGGTAGAGTTATATATTTATTTTTACTTAAATCGAACTCTAAATGTCTTGAACTGTAATCGAACTTCAAATTTCAAAGCTCTTTCATCAATATGTGACTCTTTATTTTACACTCATACTTGACATTATTTTTACTCTCGAACTATGTCAAGGAGGCAAAATAAATTTTCTAGACGCACTAGCCTATTGTGATCTATTTCTTTTAACCAATGCTAATATGCTACATGATGGTTCAGACGTTGACGTTTATTATCCACTAATTAGAAGCAAATGGTTTTACTTCACTTTTTATCTGAATGTCTACCTGATTTTACTATTAAACATAGTTAACTATGCTCTCTATCCACGAGGACCTCAAGAAGTCAAACATTTTTTGTCAAACAAACACTGCTTACTGGATAGATTAGTTGCGATTTCCGTCGAATTATCGTCTGTAGGCTCTTGAATATGTATCTGCGCTATCTATTATTTAAATTAAAAAAACTATTTTAGTCAAATAGACTATCAATGGCAATGTTAGACTAAAGTCGAATACAGTCTAGTCTGTATTGGATATAAAAAAGTCATTTAATATTCTCAAACCTTTTTGCTTTTCGAACTGGTTTACAAGAGATTAATGGTTGTATTCGTTCACTAAATCGAAGAAAATTTCGCTCCAATTCTTTTTGATATTCGCGTTGATCTGGTCCAATTAATGTTTTATTTCGTTTCAATGCCTCAGCACAACTAAAAACAAACAAATAGTGAAAAAGGATCTTTTCTTTATCTAATCCTTGCCGGTATCACTTACCGTCTTGTAAATTCTTTAAAACATAGTCTAATTCTATTATGGTGTATTGTTGGCTGTTCTTTTCCTTCAACAACCGGTGTGAGAAACGTCAATGCAACCTCTAATGGTCCTTGGTTTACTGTAGTACCAATACACCCTTGAATGACCATTTGTAAAATTTTAGCATCAGCTGGCTCTTGCGTTGTGGACACTTTTAATTCATCGGTCTTCTTTTGAATATCTTCAATAGCAACTTCAATTGGTGTCAAGATTAACTGAAATATAGAAGAAAATAATGATAAATTCGTTTACAGGAAATAAAATGAACAATTGAGAATCACAGTTTAGCATATTTTTTTATTATTCATACTTGTTCTCGTTCAATAACAGATATTCGTGTTTTGACATATGGAAATGCTCGTTCTGTGGTTAATATTGTCTTTCGTTTGTATTGTTCATTGAGTCCACCATGAGCTCGTCCATCCATTGTAAAAGGAGTGGCATACATGAAACGTTCTAGAGAAAATGTAATAAATTATAAATAAAAATATAGATATTAAATTAAATTCAGAACATACTGAGGCCATAGCTTTTTTCAAAATGTGTTAAACGTCGTTGTAATTCTGATGTATCAAAATAAGGTTCAACATATGTTACTTGAATATAAGCCTAAAATTAGAATAAAATTGATTATAGATCATTGGTAAACTAAATCTGAGTATGACAAAAATTTTCATGAATCTTACTACTATTTTGAGATTTTTGAGTTCAGTAAAACTATACACGATTTATACACGATTCTATATAGAACTCTGGCTGATTTGAAGGAATTTTACTCTAATAAAAGTTGAGAAATCAAGGTTCTCCAGTAATCGGGATGTGAATTCCTTCAACAGTCAAAGTTCTATCATTATGTTTGAAGGTTTTCCCATACGTATAACTCGACATGCTCTATACGATAGACAAATTAAAATCTATTCCTCTTAGATTTTAAGATGGATCTCTAGAGACTAGTTTTCGGAAGATTCACTCCGAAGGCTATATGAGTATGAAGGGGTATTATATTCGTAATCAGCATGAAAAATTACATTGAACCATGTATTGGACACTTGGGATGATTCCCTCGTTAATTGTTTCTTTCTCTTCATAATCACTATAATAAATTATCATGACAAATTTTTCTTTTTAAGTTAATTTGGCAAAGACTTTATAGTTGACTCTCAAAGTTGTACATCGAAGCATAAGAGTTTCGTTAGAAATAGATCACCCACAATCTCAAAAAAATATCCATTGAAAATAGATCGTAAATATGTTTGATGTTAATACCTATTTTTTCGGTTTTCTGTAAAATTTATTTTAAGTAAATTCGTAACAAACTCTGCACATGAAATATTGTTTGCCATACGAAAAATTTGTTTAAGAACAACTGGTGCGATGTTATATTCGAAGAGTAAAAATTCAAGCTGTTTTTACTAATAAATAACTCATGTCCTTGATAGCGAACAAAAGAAAAGTAAACTGCTATCACTACTCCGTAATCGTCTATAACAACAGTTGGTACATGTAGAAAGTAATCACTTTATCATTTATCTCTTATCTACGTGCACTGTCATAAAAAACATCCTTACACACATGTTAAATATTTCTATTACTATTAAACTAAAACTTATTTAAAGACGATGTATCAATTTTTAATAGTTTGATACACCTAATTTTCAATGAAAAAAAGATTTTATCCTACTTTATTGCCATTTCTTTTGATATTAAAAAAAGCTTAAACGTAGACCGATTGAGTCTAATGCTGAAATCTGGTATAACAACTGTATATAACTCTTTCTTTGGTGAAACTCTAACGTATATTTTATGTACAAATAAAGAGAGTGTTAATTTAAGATAAGAAATGCAGATGTTTTACCATTGAATGCTTCTATTTTCATCACCTGATCATAATTGCTACACGTTGAATATCTCTAATGGATAGAAGGAGATTGTCACACTTATGTGGTGACTCTAATAATCTGCATTCCTATTGCTACTATTATTGCTCACAGAAAATGTTTTTGTAAAAGTCTTGATTTCTTTTGATATTGCTGAAGAAAGATTCATTTGTACGTGATATCTATAGTTATAAAATATTTTATTGATAATGCAAGCTGTTCTTGTGATACTGTTGAATCATTGTATTTTGCTTTATTTAAAAGGTTTATATGCATGCAGAGCATACGTTTGTATAGATTTTACGATAATGTTTGCTTTTGATCATACTAGTGAGATAGTAGTTACGAGAGTTGTTATACCAGATTTTAGCACTAGACTCAATCGGTCTACATTTATGTCTAATAAGAAGAAATGACACTCGAAAACTAGCTGCTTGCTCCTCATCAAAGATTTTGAAACAAGAGTACTGAAAATATATGACCTGTTATACCACGAAATAAATAGACTGAAGTATTTAAAGGCATTGAAGGACGGAAATAGGTCATTTGATCCTAAACAGCGTTTACAAAAATTTGAATTCATCATCCTCTTCCAAATAACAAATTTCTCAATTTTATGAGTACTCTCTCTTCTCTCTCGCAAAGGAACGGAAAATAAAGCCGGATATTTAAAGAGAATCTTCTATAGTGATATCGGTCTTCTTTTTCACATCAAATTGTCCAAAGGAGCATTTTTTGACAAACAAGGAAATAATCTCCTACGCCCGAAGGTACCAAACATTCTCTCAGAAATTAGACTTATCTCAGAACATTCGCTTAGGAACATGTGAGGGATTCTCTTGAATGATGATGTTATGTCTTTTACAAACCTTTTCTAAATATGTGTGTTTTTAGATGAGAGCAATTCTTATGAATTTATAATGAGTTTAAAGATTATTTTGTAGGGGATGAAATAATTTTATAGTTGTTTTCAGACACTCTATTATGTTTGAACAGCATTTTAGATAGGCCAGTCATTTCATTATGGAGGTTTCCAATCTGAAGTTTTTCATGAGAATTAAGTTGTTGACGTTTTTTCGATGTTCTTTTTAACAAAGTTTTGACATTGTATGATGTCTATTCAATAAAAACATTAACTATCGTTCGAAAGAGAAATGAAGAAAAATGTTTTGTCGTTTAGTTAAAAACCGGAAAAGAAGACAAAACTAAAAAATAAAACCAAAAGACTTATTTTTCTCTCTTTTAATGCCAGAAAGCCAAGAAATGACGCCGTCTATACAATAAATAATATTCACAAAACTCGCTTTTTTTTGTGATTGAATAATGAGATCTCAAAGGTTCTTAATTTACCACACTTATGTGGTCTTAAAGGAAAAGGAAAGCTTCTGTAGAATGAAAGGTTTTTTTTATATTAAGAAATCTATCTATCCACTCTCAGAAATCTATTTTCGAGAGGAAATAATCGAACTTAACCAAATTTAGAGCGAATGTTACCTCTATCAAGGTATACGTTGGATTATCCAACCACATATAAATTTCACAATCGACTTTTTTTTAATGGAGAGGGGCCCTAACTAGTTTTATTGTGAAGCGTCGACGACTATTTTTAGTGTGAGACGAAGAAATATAAGTTTAGAACAAATAAACAGTCTTTTAGGAGTGATTCTTTAGTTCTCTTTCAAACCTTACTCAACCATGCATCATCGGATAACAAAAACAACGCTGTAAATCACAATTAGTAAACGATGATTAAATACATCCTCACTATTAATATTTCTCATCGTATTGCTTATTTATTTCAAACACAGAAAAATAGCAAAGAAATGGAAAAAATCTATATTAAGTCGAGGGCCTGCCTCTTCAGGTACGACTATGAAAATTGTTAAAAAAAAATATGCGTACGCGACGAGTTCGAATCAGCAGGGCTTCGGATAAATGTATTACTCATAGAATTATTCTTCAACAGGTAAAAAAATGATTTTGTTTACTTACTAAAATAAACTATTATGTGATCATGTGTATCCAGCAGGTAGTAGAAAAATTGCTCAACATACTCTTTTCTATTAAATAACTGTATCATTAATCAAAGAATGAAATACACGTTTTTGTTAAGTTTATACATACTTTTTATTCCCGGTATAAATTTTACTCTCTAATATCTCTAATACTTATAACATAGAATTTTACACCGTCTTATTTAAAATTTGACTAAAGTCATTAATCAAATGTAAAATTTTGACGCATAACCTGATGATAAAAGCACTAGAACATTTTTTCAAATAAATCAAAAAAATCCATTAAGAGACGTGTCAGAAATATTAATAGAAGAAGATTACCTTGTTATTTCAGATTAGTATATTTTTTATTTTATTTATTAGAACCTATTAAGCGTATTTTAGTTGGTTTATACATTACAAAACTACAATACGTTGTAAATGAATTTTTCAGCTGATAGACAAGATTAGTTATAAATTCTTGATATCTCAATATTCTCTATAAACGTGATGCGGCACATATAAACAATTTTCAAGGATCATAACAGATAGTATTTTATCTGTAGGATATTAATTCAGCATTTTATACCGATTATATATATAAATCCATTCATATTTGAATGGAGATTATTCTTGGAAGGTGCTTAAACCAATTAAAAGCGCGTCATGTAATTCGCCTAGACGTTTGTCAATATCTTTACGGAAAAGTGTCGGTAGAGTAATATATAGTAAACACATCGAAAATTGAATCAAAATGCGATGACCTTCATTTGAGATTAACATAATCTCTGCTCGTACTTGACAAACAAAAAATAAACAAACAGACAAACAAATGTAGATATTTCATCAAAAGAAAAGAAAAAAAGATGTCTTAGAACATCATTAAATCAAAAGGAAAAAAGCCGAGTTAATTTCCTCTGCGGGTTGTGCTTTCCTTTTATTCCAGATTTACTTGAAGATTAGAGTTCTTCCTCCTCTTCATCGTTCGTTTAGGTAATGTGTGTGTGTATTTGTGTGTCTTTGTGTGTATTGCTATTATTATTTATTATTCTAATAGTGACAAAAAGAAGAAAGAAACGAGAAAAAATAAAAAAACAATTCAAACCGCACAATTGAGATATATCTTTTTTTTTCTTTTTTTCATTGCAACCTTGTAGTAGTATGCAACAGCGATTTTCATTTATCAACGCATACATTAAATAGTTATAGTAAATAACCCAATAAAAAAAAAACCGACTTTGAGTATGTTTTCTCTCGATATTTGTAATGTAAACGTGACCAATCGTTAATATATAGAAAGAAAATATAAATGACTATAAGTAATTCACATCAATTTTGCTTTTTTGTTAACTCCGATACATAAACATTGTATCGTAGACTAATTGAGACACTGATATATATATATATACAGACATATACACACACACAGACATCGACTACGAAAAGAAAAAAATAGTTTTGCCTTTTTTGATGGTTTTCTTTTTTTTTTGTGTGAGAAATAATTACACTAATCAGAAAAAAAAATGAGAGTGTGTTTGTGTGCGAAGGTAAGTGTTAGCTAAATACATTGGTTAATGTATGTATGCATAGTTTGAATCTGAGTAGAGAAATTTAGTAGAATAGATACGACAATCAGAAGGTAATTTCAAATAGGTACTACCAATTAACCTTCTAATTAAATGTGGAAGGGTACAATCTATTTACGCAATAGCAGCATTATTACGTATCTCTCAACTAAAACGCGCAGTCTAATCATTTTGTCAATCTTAAAAGATGAAATTTCAATGATCAATAGGTAAACTTTTATTTAAATACAAACGAGGTAAATACACGTGTCTCTTAAAACGTTTCATTTTTAGTTTTGTTTTGTGAACTAGCTAGTTGACTTTCAACACTTTACCAAATGAAAACTCGATCTTTTTATTAGAAAACTCAATTCAAAATCTTGTATGTTGTTTTATCTAGGTCTATCTTTTGTACAGTATATATGAAATATACAGTGCTTTTTCTGTCAACGAGGATATCTTATATTTTATCTAATTTTTTTCTTCAACTTTTCAATGGTCTAAATATGTGTGATGATGACGAGTAGATAACTATTAATAAGAATGTAATAAGGACTAGTGATGACCTTAGAATTCAAAAACCTGTTCTTATTCTTATTTTTTTTCTATTAGCAGGTGTTAACTTTCTTCGTTTTTTTTATATTTTTATAGAGAAATTGAGTGTATCGATGCACACATAGATAGAATACAAAAAAAAAAACATTTTTTTTTTTTCGAATTTTTAATTAATTCTCAAAATTGTCTTATCTCGATTTTTTTTGACATTAACTAAATATCAATTAATCTATATTTCGGATAAAACTTCCCCTTTCTTTGTTCTTTTCTCTATGATGTTGAAATGAAGGCTGATGAGATAATTTTCTAACAGTCGTGTTATCAACGCCAAGTCATATTCATTCAAGTGAAAGTTATGACATTATCATATATACACATATATACATACAAAAAACAACAGGAATAGAAGAAAAAACAAAATAAAAGACATCATCTCCATAGACAATTCCAAGATATTATATATCTTCTCCCGTTTTTTTTTTTTTTTCGTCTTCTCATATCACAATATTTAATAATACAATGCAATTAAGATAATATTCCATTAATGGTCAAGGTGGTGTTTTTGTCTATTGTTATAACATTCAACAATTCTCTGTCATCATCTGTCATACAATGTCAATCATAAAATCGAGTGATTAATATATTTATATTAGAATATATATCTATCTTTCGAGAAAAAAATCATCACATAAAAAACAGAAAAGAGACCTTACTGAATATTAAAAATGATATAACAAATATGCTTTTATCGCTCGTTTTATTATGATTATTAATAGTGTCATTTATTTTTGAAATATGAGATGATGAAGCAAACAAAAAACTTTCTTATTTAGTAATCATGAATAGATATATAACAGTTTAATTCCATTTTCAGTTTATATAAATTGTTTTTTTGTTTTTCCATTGTATGCTATTAAAATATCTGACATTTGACATAGACATATCGATTAAACTATAACTATTTCATCTTTCTATTTTTACTTCTTCTTCTTCTATATTAGAAAATTTCAAAAAAATAAGAAAAAAAAAAGTATTTTTCATTAAAAGCATGGAACATGTCATTACTTTCCATAAAACGTGTTTTTCTCATATTAATTTCAATTTCACACTGTTTGTACTACAAATAATCGAGTGAAATATATATTTTCTATTTGTTAAATGTTTTAATCAGACTTTTCTTCTTTTATTTTTTAATACTTTTTTTGCTTGAAAAAAAAAACACAGTTCAGAATACCTTTTTACCTTTTGTGGTTTACTGTTGTGTTTTTCTTTTTCTTTTTTTGTTTTTTTTTTACATTGGAGATTTATTTATCTAACATAAGTGTACTCTAATACTCATTAACAATGTTATTTCATAAAGTGTCTGGACAACAAGGATAAAAGAGAAACTAATTGGACAATACCTAAAAATCTTTAAGAGGATACTAGTGTTTGTATGTGTATCAACTTTGTTTTTGTTTTGCATTTTTTAAGTAACCACATAGATTCTCTTCTCATTTTTCTATTTTGTCTCATATGATTTTTTTCTGTTTTTTTATGATTTCTTCACTGGTATTACTGGCAAAAGAAATACAAGGAAAATTTTTTTTTTGTTTTTTAATTTTTTTCTACACATTTTACGGATGAAGAAGAAGAAGAAGAAGAAGAAAAAACCGCACACACAATCCGTATTTAAATAATCGTCGATCAGACAAAGAAAAACATTTTAAAAAACAAATAAAAAATAAATGATGTATCGAGACGCAGATAGGAAACTTTTTAGAGATTTCTTCTTTTTTTTTTTACGCTCGTACTCTCTTATTAAAAGAAGATATTCCTTATGTATTCTTTTCTTCTTTTTCTCACTTTTTTTTTTTTTTGCAAATAATATTGAGAAGAAATAATTCTCATTTTTCCCAGATCTATATCGCAAAGGTAGGATTTTTAAAATGAAGAAGAAGAAAATGAAGAAAAATTAGGCAAAATGATATGTATCTATTTTTTTTTTCTATCGTTTAACAGCATGTTGTTGTTTTTCCCTATCGAAGTAACACGTTGAACTTGAAAGATGTCAATTATAGACACACACACAAATATAGTCATCAGATCTAAAAATCTTGTGTCTATTTGAAAATAGAATTAAAACAATGGATGAATTGTAAACTTTCTATTTCTATAAAATATTTTATTTGATTTTTATTATTTTTTTTTTTTTTTTTTATAAATTATAATAAGAAATATGTTGCAAGAGCTCGAACACTTAATCAATCAAAATAATATATTTTATTTTATTGTTTGAAAAAAAAAACTATATATGTCCTTTAAAAATAAAATTGAAATTATATGCCTGAAATAGAGAATTTTAAATAGTTATTTTATTAATAATAATAAAAAGAATAAAATCGACTTCTTTTTTTATTTTTTAATGTTTTATATTTAAATGATAGAAACAAACGGTTGCTTCTGTAGAAGTAGAGTAGACTAGACGATATTTTTTAGGATTATGTTGATCGATATCGTAGGAAAACAATATTTTATTTCGTAATTTGTATCAAATTATTTTGCTATAGACTCGACTGTCTCTCGCTCTCTCTCTTTCTCTCTATATCTGTCGTTTATTTTCTGTCTCTTTTTTATTTTTCTCTTTTATACGTTATCATCACAGATATGTAGAAAGAGATCAATTCATTAGAGACATTTTTTATGTTGTTGAAAGTATTATGATAAACCTAAATTTGCTTTTTTCTTTTTTTTTAGGATTTTCTTTCTTATTGTTTATTATAGTCTAATTAATTAATTTTAATTCTTATTATATACGTAGAAATAAAATTACCTTTTCGTTAAAAAAAAAATCGTTTAAAACAACAATAACAGTAATGGATGAACCACAGCTACCATCTTCTGATAATGATCCGGACACATATTTTGTTAATATGGTTGTTGATGATATCGAACAGGGATCTGATATATTATCACAAGATAGTCTTGCAAATAATGCAATTAATAATGCAAATAATGCAATTAATAATGCAATTAATAATGGAAATAATCCAAATAATCCAAATAATAATATATTTGATACGATAAGTGAAACGACAGCAACAATTGCCAAATATACCAATCGAGTTATAAATGGAACTATTGATGAAGTAAAAGAAATAGCGAGTGGAACAAAGAATAATCCAAAAACATCATTTTTTAGCGGTATGTTAATTAAAAATTTATTTTTTTGTCTCATCTAATAATCTTAATATCACCCAAAGCTCTTTCTCCTTCATCTCCTTGTCTTTTTTTATTTTTCTTCAATATGAATAGAACACGCGACTTTTTAATATACTTGTTTCCGAGAAATTTTCATATTGTTCTAAAGTAGCATTAATATAAAGTCCACTTTTAATTAGAAGATTGACTTTAAATGATCACATCATCTTCTCAATAATAAGATGATTCGTATAATTTTTTAACCATACAGTTAGAAGAAGAAAAAAGAAAAATGAGAAAACATTTTCTCAATAGATATTGTCAAAATGCTAACAATTATTTCATTTGGCATTGAGCTAATTAAAAAATAATATATTTTTTTTTTTCTCTGTTATTGAATATCAAAGAAATGTATGAAACGTTTTGTTTTTCATCATTATTTATTCTCTATAATCTGGTAACAGATTTGACATGACACATTCTTATCATCATTTTAACATCATCATCAGACTAGTAGATATTATAAATTTTTTCTTTTTTTTTCTATTTCTTTTCTTCTTTTTTTTGTTTTTTTTGTTTTTTTTTTTGTTTTGAAGATCAACAAATATTGTTTGTACTAAATATGATCTAGTCTATACTTGATATGTACAACTATCGTGCATGAATGAATGATGCGTAAAAACTAACATTATAAAGATCCATATATACACATTCGAAACTAAGGTCAAATAAAGACAGATATTTGTTACTAACAATTCACCTGTATAGTCTCATAGTTAGATGAGAAGAGCGAGAAGAAAAAAAAAAAATATATATATATATGTCTGAAGGTCATAAATAACATCCAAATCAGTTGAGATGTTGTTTAAGACATAGAGGTGTATACAGTCAAATGTTTATTTTTAACGTCAAGAATACGTAACATAGTTCTCAATTAAAAAAAAAAGAAAAGAAAATTGTGGTTTATGAGTATTCTAAAAAAAAATGCTAAGATTTTTACAAGTTGTCATCATTCGTTTTTCTCCATCTATCATAGAGAATAAATGAGAATAAAATAAAATAAAAAAAATAGTCAAACGGTACAAAAGATTATTTTAAGATAAAATAGTGTCAATAAATTCAACTAATAATAATAATAATAATGATGAAGTACAACAACCATTAGAGAACTTGAGACATCAATTTGTCTTTTTGTAAATACATGTTTATAGTTGTAGTAGTCCTGTTGAATCAAGATTGAAATTGAAATTGTTTAGGCTAGGATTATTTTACAAAAAAAAGACAAACAGAAATGTTTCTTTTAAAAGTTGAAAAAATCCCTATCGTAGACCTAGTCATTGTCATATTTTTTTCCAACTAATGTTTTTTTCTTTTTAAATTACATTTTTGTTAATGAAAAAAACAAAAATTGTTTCTTTTTTTTTTTCTTTTTTTTGTTTTTTTTTTTTAGAAATTTGATAGGATTGTGATCGAGTTTCATTTAGCCACAATGGCATGGAAATCGAAATTGAAAAAATCAATCCCTCAAAGACTTTAGTTAGAAGTGTAGAACAATGATTTCCGACTTCTAATATAAGAAAAGAGTAAAGAGATAATTTCCTATCGATTTTCTGTCTTAACATTTCTCTATCGTACGAAATAGAAAACTAATAGAATCGATGTGCATTGATGGATAGAAAACTTAAAATAAAAAGTTGAATTAAGTAAAATAACAAAACAAAAAGGGCGCTTTGCTTTGAAAATTAGTTATTATAAATAGATTTAGAATCGTAAGACTTAACAATTTTAGATTAAGTATGAAAATATAAATGCTAATAATTAGAGAAAGAATTGATCAATAATTTTTTTGTTCCAAGTTTCGTTTTAAAATAGGCACAAAAAAGAAAATAATAACCTTGAAAGAATTAGAGAATAAGTGTAACTCTTCAAAATAATATGAGAATCTAAGACGAGTGAATGAATCTACATTAGAAATCTTATATTTCTTACTAGAAATATGATTATTTTTAATATAAAAATTCTACATCAGATTAATCAACGATATATATCAGTCAGTCAATATTCAATTTAATTAGAGAAGGTAGCATCAATCCAAGTTCATAATCTGACTTTAATATGTCATATACAAACATAAGACACGAATAAAAATCAACTCTTTATTTGGATACAGTTGTGTCTTTCATAAAAATATATGAGATGTAAACTATTAATAGAATATCAAGATTTCAATCTCCAATTTTTTTCTTCTTCTTCTTCTTCTCACTTGAAACGAGTTGATTTCAACTGATGATGAATAAAATTTGAAAAAGAATCATTTTATTGTAATTTATTATCGTCGACTCTTATATATACACACATATATAGCATAAATATTTTTTGTTATTACTTCTACTTTTTACTTATTTATTCATTTTTCTTTTTCTTCATGGAAAATTAAGAAATTATAGATTTTTAAAGAGATTTCAAACATATTTTTTTCAATATATCGTGTTTAAACATTCATTTGACATAAATTTCATAATTTAGATGACAATCACTAATCTTATTTCTAATCAACAATTTTCTCTTTATTTATTTCATTTTTAGGTTGGACAATCCCAAAAATTTTATTAATTGTACTAATGGCTTTATGTGCACTTGGCCTCATTATAGCTGTTCTCTATTTCTTATTGCGTAAAAAACCTGGTAAAACAAAAGGTACAATAAAAGAAGTAGATCCAAAAATAAGTGAGAGAACAGCAACTGGAAAGGCACTCGTCGGCACCACTGATGCCGAAGTAAGAAAATCAGGAGCAAGAAATGTATGATTAATTTATTTATTCGTTCTTTTCTTTTTTTTCTTTCGATGATGATGATTATTATTTATTATTATTATTATTATTACTATTATTATTATTATTATTATTATTTCTTGGTTTTTTCTGCTTTTTACAATGTGTGTTTGAGTGTGTTACTATGTAGTTTATTCAGTTTGTGCAAGAACAGTGCGAGAGATTCATTTTTATTTTCTGCTTTATTTGCAATAATAATAAAACTGAAACTTACTTTATTTGATAAATCTAAACTTGAACGATTAACAACATTTGAATCTTTAATTATTTCAACAAAATTGCGGCCAAATTTTTCAATATAAAATGACTAAAATACAGAAAAAAACAAAAACAATAAATGAACAATGTTTGCAAATTTTAACCCTTGGCAGTTGTTTGGGTGTCCGATTGGACCCACCTTACATTTTGTGTTTATTATTACTTCTCTATATTTTTTTCATACGCTGGTAAAACTGCTGGCATATTCGCGATCAGAGAGAACATAAGCGGAACTGTTGATTGATATATGACAAGTCTGAATCAAACAAAAATCATCGAACTTTTCGATGCCTTTCCTAGCGGGTCCAACTAAACCCGTGAGCAGCCGACAAGGGTTAAAGAGCGATATATCTACGGCACGACCAAGCGTTTCATTTATTTGCGTTCTAAGAACCGTAACTTAAAAAGGACTAAACCTGGAGCCTTGAAACTTTTATCACTAATAAAGAATCTTCTGTTCTAGTACCAAAAAATTTTTAATCAATTTTGTCCAGTCGAACGAAGTTATAAGCAGAATAGATGTCGCTACGGAAGGACAAAAACGGAATTTATTTTTAGTAGTGTGTATAATTTCGATTATTTCTACGAATCAATGCAACATGGAAAGAAATGTTTTAGATGAACGTTGTGCAGTTTCCACTAGCTTTGAAACTATCTAATTGTTTTTCGAAATTGATCATGCAATCGAATAAAAATCGAAAAATATACGTCGTTACGGAATTCTGTTTTTTCCAATACAGATAGTTTATTTCGTTAAAAATTCCGTTTTTTTAACCAGATTTAGTAAAATCAACTTGATATTCGCAATCAGCGTAAAATTCTGCATCGAACAGTGTATCTTTCATAGAAATCTATGGAGAAAAAGTTTTTGACTTTTCAAATGGAGAAAATTTTCGAGAAAAATGAAAATCAACAATTTGAAAAAGTGAGTGAGCCATCTTGTGCAGAATTCAAAGCTGATTCAAAATACATAAAATTCTTAGGTTAACTAGTGCATCAGACGACGGAAAAATCAAAAATTCTTTCATGTGAGTGACTCCATAGAATGAATGAAAAATAGAGCAAAATATAAAAAGAGTTAGTCCATTCGATAGCGCTTGATGAGTTCTACTTGCCTATTAGGTTTTTTCCAAAAATGAGGGTTGCAGTTGTGCAAAATACATTATGTTTGGATTTCGTTACGGGAATTCTATTAGAGGTCTGCGGGACAGTCCGAGTTCCATCCCGGATCCGCGGGACTTTTTACGGGACCGGGACCAAACTTCATGGGACCAGGATCTAGAGATCTGCGGGATAGTCTCAGTCCTGCGAGATGGTTCCGGTCCCGCAGGACTTTTAATGCTACCGGGACCAGGTTTTTTTGAAAGTAGTCTTGTATGGAGCATAAAAATTTCTTAGTTTCTGTGCTTGTTTGTATGTAGACACCAGTTCTGCGAGAAAGAACTCATAGAAAATTCTAAAAGTCTGCAATTAAAACCACTCACGCATGCTGTTCCACGAGCCACATTACAACGCGATGACTTTCAAACTATCAGCGCTACTTTGAAAAAATATTTACGGGACCACGGGACAGGGAAAAAATCTAAAATTTTATTTCTTCATGGGATCGGGACCAAAAAAGTTTGGTCCCGCAGGCTTCTAAATTCCGTAAAAAATGTGGGTGGTTTGTGAGCTTTGTTTCTCACTTCAGATACATCGATTAGTTCTGAAACTAACAGATTCTGAAAGAGCAGATGCTTTTCTATTTGTAGATATCAAATTCAGCATGACCGTTAACTGATCACGCCGTCTAATAACAAGTTATTTTACTCTATATAAATTAGATATTAATTTATAATAAAAAAATGTTTAACTCTTACTTCTAAACGATGTGCAATTTCTGCTAACTTTGTAATACCCGGTTCTTTATAAATAAATTCTTCTCCATCTAATTCATCAAAACGAGTACCATAGAAGCCGACACGAAAGTATGTGGCGAATAAACGTTTATTACCCTAAAAAATAATTAAAAAAAAATAGATCAAAAAATTTGAATAAACAATAATTGAATATCGGGATACCTGTACAAGTATACGATTAAAATATTCATGTAATTTACTATGAACTTGTGATAATTTCTTGAAATCACGACAAGATTCATAAATGGGTATTAGAACTTTATAAACTTCATTTACTGCTTCATACATATTTGCCTAAAAGTAGATATAATTTTTTATTATAAATTTATAAATTATCATATCAAATTTATCTTACATGCATAAGAAAAACAGCTGCTTGTTCCATTAGTCCAATAAATCCATTTTCAGTAAAATATTTTCCTGTACATATGCCTTCTTCGCCAGGTGAGACTACATCATCTGATACTGCACTCTCTTCCAAGATATTAATGGAAATTTTCTTGAAATAAAAAAATAATAATTCAAAATAAAGAAATACCTTTTTAAAATAAATTTTTTTGCTTACTTGTAGTGCACAACATCCATCAGGCATATATTGTTTACATTCGAGCATTTTTAAATATTCAGCTACCAAACCAGCAGCATGAGCCAAACATTGGCCAGCTTCAGCATAATTTGAACGCTATAAATGAAATTAAAACTTGTTTCTCGCCTTTATTCTGATACAAAAAAAGAGTAAAACTTCAATTAAAAGTGATAAATGTAACACAACTCACCTGTAAATGATTTTGTGCCATATTTTGTAACCATGTTAGTCTTAAATCAGGACTGTTTTGATAACAATTCGCTATACGATGCATTAAATCTAGTAACATTTCAGGATCTTCACTATAATCTTTCATTTTCACTGTATCACACAATATCATATGCAAATTGCATGCCAAATCTTTTACCTAGACACATGAATTTTTCAAAATAAAAAAGATACGTATGTGACACACAGTGGGCATCCATGCGGAAATTAGGTGAAAA